GTCAGGTCCCGACAATATGCTGACACTGAAGAAATGATGGACAAATTGCGTGTCACTGGAATTGTATCAGACCATATCGTGCTAGAACAATATTCAGAAGCCTCCTGTCAATCACACACATCTGGGGTATATTGCTTCCCTGTTTTAGACACCAAACAGGGGCACCACTTAGTGTGACTAAAGCATGTGGAAACTTAAAGCAACTTCACATTTCTCATTTCACGCCTTTCTATGCAGCGCTACCCCATAACTCACCAGGACGGCCCAAGGGAGGGGCAGAGCAGGTGCACTGCACATGAAAGGCCAGAACAAAGGGCCGTCCAATCACAGAGCGTGGTGACCTGGGCCCCGAGGATGATGGGACCTGGTCAATGTCACCCTGAAATGTCTGTTACTGCTATCAGGGTCAAAACTAGTATGTGTGGTAATGGGAATCACAGATCTCACGCTGAGATGGAATGCAGTCGTTCGCACCTGTCTTGTTGATAACCGCTAACATTCCACAACATTCTACAACTTGCTATAAGACAAATTACAAAGGGCTCAGCAAAGACTTTTTTGTTGATTTTAGTCAAATTATTTTGCAGTTAATTCCAATATTTCGAGTCTTTTTGGAGAGAGGTTCAGATTATTAGCTGGAGATGAGAGAAGGCGTAGTAAATTAGGCCTGCCCTAAAATAACTCAACCTTCAATGTCGGAGGCATTTTATGACCCTCCAGAGAGTGAAAGAATTAGTTCTCTTTCCTTTAGACTTCTCTTGCCCTCAGCTTAACAGACAGTCCTGCAATAATTAATTACACTAATTATTACTCAATGTGTCCGTCCTCACTGTAAACTGAGATATTCCCCCAAAGTCAAGAGTTTTAGAACGTTATAAGCTATCATCTGTCTACGTTTACTTTGAATTTCTGTGCCCTCAGTGAGTCACAACAGAAAATCAATGCACATGTGCATACATTACAACATTTGTTCAGTATTACCCAGATTATTTGTGATAAAAGCTTTAAAAAGTCTATAAATAATTTTTTTTCATGTTTATTTTTTTCTTGCTTTTGAAATTAAACTCCATTGAAACCCTTTTCAAATTCGCTAGTTTAATGTGTCTGCTAATAATTTCTAACAGTGGAAATACATGCAAGAAGGATAATGCTGTTTTATTTGTTTTTCCCAGAACAGTCATTCTGCGGTGGAAATTACGTTTGAAACATTTTTTAAATAAAATGCTGACTCCCTCATCTTGCTAAAGCTTATTTAATAACTAGCTTAATGCTGAGTTGTTTCAACCCATGTTTGGGTCAAATATGGACAAACTCAACTGTTGGGTTTAAAATGTAATTTAAAAATTCAAACCAACGGTTAGGTTTGTCCATATTTGACCCAAAAATGCGTTGAAACAACCCAGCATTGTTTTAGAGACCAAATACACATATTACAGTATTTTCACACTTTCACCACTATTTCTTTAAATTGCAGCTTGACTGGAATTGGCACAATCAAAATATTACAGTTTGAAGTATTATGATATTTGCCTTGAATGTTCTTTGTTTTCTTTACACATTATGTCTCATATTTCAAATCAAGAATGCACTTCACTGACACTGTTGTCTCCATGGTAACTAAGTACACTAGGCTTTTGGTTTGTGGTGGAAAGGATTACACAACCAGTGGGTTAAAATGTACATCAATTATTTTCACACAATAAATATTGAAATAGTTAAAAGTGTATTTCACTTTCACTTTGTAAAATGTGATTATAGGTCACACATTATATTAGGTGTCTCTATGTACATAAAATGTACTCATTGTTCATGTTGTATTGCAAAACACTTTGGCTGCCATACGGGAAAGTGTAATGGTGGGTTAAGGTGTAAAGGAAGGTTCAACAGATGTAATTATAGAAATGAATTACGGAGATAATTACATGCAGGTACACTGTAAAAAAAATTAATCAATAAGTTATGACAACATGTTTTTACATTGCTTTAACTCTTCAAAATAAGTTAAGCAATTTTCAACTTTTTACTTTAGAGACAAAGCACAACCAAAACAATGTTCTTCTGCAAAATGCATGCAGTTCTTTTAAACCACTAGAGGGCCAGAAGTTACATAGTATCCTTTAATGTGAGCTTCATTTAATAAAAATAAAAAATGAAATCGGTTGTATTTAATACAAAACAACCCCTAAGAGACAGAAGTGCCAGAGTTGAAGAAACGTCCATAAAGGTTTGAGTAAGCAGTTCAAAAAGCCGTGTGACTGTCAGCTGGTCACATCTCCATTCTGCCAGCAGTAGAAGGATGAGTATGACATGTGTGAAGGGCCACTGCTGCTGAGAGATGGAGCAAACCACAGATGCATTTGCACAGAATTATCACACTTTTCCGCACACGTTTTCTCTCTCAAGGAGAAAAACAGGCACAAAATCTGTCGAATTTTTCATATTTTTACATCCACTTGCCTTAAAAACAGTACAGAAAAACGAATGATGCAGTACATTGTGCATTGCTTCTTTTATCTTTTACCAGCAGGTGGCAAAACTTGAAAGCCACAGTTTAATTTATCGATCCGTTGACTCAAAATGCAATTCTGGACTGAGGTTGCACAAATCATCAACAAGTTTCTGAGGATAAGGGCTTCTTTTAATCCCAAGTGCATATTTAACCATACAACCAAAGAGGGTCTAATGCAAAATACTCCCCAAAAAGCTATTCAGTGTATTGTGTTTTCAGATATATGTGCTGGTGAGTGCAGGTAAGTTGTTTGCCTACCGCTATGGAAATGAAGACAGCTTTGTTACTTTAAAATCTGATGCTGTTGCTTAGAGACCATGTTCTGCGTCAAGCCTGAAATGGCTCCCAATATAGAGCACAATAGCTCTCGTTCTGTTCGGCTCCACCCCTGTCTGCACTCTTATTGATTGATCTCCAAATGGATTAAATCTAAGATTAGATCACTGGTACGTATGTAAGCTCATCATTACGAGGGTACCATGATGCATGGCGTACTCTGATTCTGATCCATACCGGGCCACAAGTGTGAAATCGACCCATGCTGCTCTCATTGTTAGGGTTCATAATCCTCCTAACACTGTTTGACAAGGAAATATTTACTCTGAACTACACGTTTCAGATCAAAAGGTCTGATGAGGTGAACGTGTCTTTCATATGATCTCACATCATTAAAATGTCTTAATCACCCATTTGGTAAAAGCAGGCCTACTCATTGTGTCTCCCTTCCGTTTCTGAGAAACCCACAAATTACAAAAGAAGCCTTTCAGTTTTTAGAGTCAAACAGGAAGCTTGTGAAAGGACATCTCATGAATGTACTATCCTATTTGCGCAAGGATGTGTGAAGCTTTCAGCGTTTCCTCTTTCAGGCACATTACACTTCCCCATCCAAGTTTCTCTCTCACAATAACAGCTACCAAATCCCTGCCCACACTCCAGTTTTTTTTACAATGAAGAATCAACAGGGATATACAAGTTAGGGAAAAAGCGCATTATATATGCAACTTTTCAAAAGTTTGCAGTTGGTAAGTTTCTTGCACCAAGGCTGCATTTCTTTCATCAAAAATCCAGTAAAAAAACAGTACTCTTGAGAAAAAAAAAATTTAATTAGGACCTGATTTCAATTTTAATATATTTTGCAATGTAATGTATTCCTCTGATAGCAAATCAGCCATTACTCCAGTCTTTGTCACATCAGTGTTGAAAGCAGTTCTGTCATGACAACTCTCTGGGTGTTTGGCATGGTAATGGATATGAGAATGTTGATATGTTTGATCTTGACGGAATAGATCGCGAGTAATAGCGAGTACGGGACTTGCTACTGCCAATACATACACGACATGCTGCTGTGAGCAAGTAAGACATGCTGCTGCTGTACAATATAGCGCACATGAATTACCCATAGCAGATCTATACAGGTGGAGCTGGGGAAGGTGGAGGGTTTCTGAAAAAGCGCTGCAACTGCTAAAACAAATGCTGACCGAGTATTTGAAAGTTGAGCAGCGAGCTCATTGGCTACTGATACGGCAGGAACCAATCAACTGTGCCCTATAGAGAATGATGTGATTGCCAGCAGATTGAGTTAAGTACTTTGAGAATCAGCCTTCACCATCTAGAGTTTCATGACAGAATTGTGTATTTGTGCTGCAGCATTTATTTGAAACAGAAATTACTATTTCCGTTTTTTACTTCAAAATTTGATGTTCAATTCAAAGTGTTATTAATGGATTAATTAATCTATCAAAGGGAATAGCTACAGTTACATCTTCAGCTAGTCAGCTTGAGATCCTTTCCATCTAAACTAGATATCTCTCAAGCCTAGAAGTGAGTGTTTTATGAGCAGTCGGATAACCAAATGCATCCGTACAGTCACGCAGAGCCAAAGCACAACCAAAACAATGTTCTTCTGCAAAATACATTCAGTTTTGTATACAAAGTTACATCGTATCCTTTAATGTGAGTTTCATTTAATATAAATAAAACATTAAATATGTTGTATTTAATACAAATAAACCCCAAATAAAGGGGTTATTTGTTATTCCCTTGTCATTATTTACTAGCAATTTCTGAGGGAAAATTGTTTCTGGACATTGTATTTTTCTTTACTTCTACACTTTAAAGTATACATATTCTACAAAACTTGCCTCTGATGCACTAACCTCATACTAAACCCATAAGTCTATAAGAATTCCAAAATATATCAAATATTAGATTATGTTATCAAATGTTAGATAAAACAGTAATTCATTATTTTTGCATTTTTCATGACTTTTTGGCACATTTTAAATGAAGCATTTTTGTCATATTCAGTGCTATTTTTGCCCGAGCCCTGTTAATTTTTGGCCGTTGAACACAAAAAGCGAGAAAGTATTGTCTAGTTTTGCTAAATAGTGGTTTGGTCTGTCACAAATTCTTGTTTTGTAAGTCCACTTGCACAATAACACCATCCAGTACTTGTTACAGAGACAAACACATACTGTATGATGCCACTCACCGTAGCCCCAGACTGAGTGCTCTGGCCTGATTAGAGTGTTAAAGGGAAAGAGCTGAGCTCTCCTGTCCCATCCTAATGGCCCATAGGATCCGTGTGTCATATAGTTGTCACAGCCTTCACCTAAAGCTGTTATTACAAAAACAAAAAACATTTACTATATGGAACAGAGAAAAAAAAAACAGTGATACATTTCTCAATGTTATATTAAAACATACCATAACACTATGATACATAATCTAGACTGTATCTTTAATGTTAGGATTGGCCATAGACTTTCATATATTAGTTATCGACAGTTTATTGTGCACTTACCTTTCTTGATCTTCATAATGTAGTCACTCCTCTGTTGCAATCTGAGATCAGTCTAGCACACGCACCTCATTCATACACTCTTACACTGTAGATTCCTGTCAGAAAGTCAGCAGCAGAGGAAGTGGTGTCTGATGGCCATCTGAAGTTTAAAGGGCTCTGAACATTGTCTGAGGATATGAAAAAGTCGTGCTCTCACAATTCCTCTTTCCCCATCTCACCGGTTTGAAAGGATTGAAACACAGCAGTTATGTGGGGACTGAGTCATTGGCTGCGTCTCACTTACTGTCACACATTATTACAGCACGTTCTAAGTCCTACGCTACTGTCAGAAAACTCACGCTTGAACGCTACAACATATTTCGGTAGCACCTCATGAAACCTGTGTAATAAAAAGCAAAATACAACAGTTAGTTGTATGAAGTCCTTGAATTTGATTGGCTGGGTGGCTTCCAAGATAACTGATATTGATCACAAAATTTCCCACCAACTTTTTTCAGCAGCTTTGGTTCTGGAAGGTTTTTTTTTTTTGCCATATGGATTTTAAAAAGTCTTTGTTAAAGTGGTATAAGCTATGAACTAAGATAACCATCTACAATGTGATTTGCAACAAAAAAAGTATTTGAAAATCAGACAAAAGCCAAAGATGCAAGTGTCACGGTAGACGTTTTCTCTGTTTCCTTCTAGTCTCGTGTTTATGTTGTTGTATGAATGCACGTGTGTGAGGGGTGTGTCTGTATGACATCACTTGATCCGCTCCAGCTGCTCATCATCACATCACCAGCTGCAGTTGATCATCACCACACTATTTATACTCACCGTCATTCTCTCATCTTTGTCAGATCGTTGTTTCATCTGGTTCGTGTTGGTGTTCCGGTGTCTAGTTCCTGCGTCCAGTTCCTGCCTTGTGTTCCTGTTCTTCGTCTGGATTCGAGTTCTACGTTTGTCTCACCATCGTCTCTTCACCGCACCACTTCACGCATCCTGACCATCTAGTCCCTGCGCCACCAGCCCACCCGTATCTCTGAACTGTCGTCTGTCCTCAAAATAAACAAAGTGTTACTTGCATCTTTGCTTCCGCCTTTTGGTTGTGACAGAACGATCTGACCCGATATGGAAGCAGCAAGCGAAACCGCCTCATCCCTGGAGGATTTCATCAAGTCCAGTATCTCACGGATGGATTCCCAGGAGAGGAACATGAACGAGTCGGGTCGGGCTATTCAAGCTCTTGTGGCGCAGGTGTCCGAGCTCACCCAGCAATTCCAACTTATGCGAGCTCCCACTGCGCCACCCACGCCGCCTGTTCCCCCGGTACCATCAGAGAACGTCTCCCAGTCAGAGCCCCGCCTACCAGTGCCTGAGAGCTACAACGGTGAGCCGAACTTTTGCAGGGCATTCCTAACACGTTGTTCGATGCACTTTTCTCTGCAGCCCAGGACCTTTGCGAACAAACGTAGCAAGGTCGCGTTCGTGCTTACGCTACTGACTGGGAGGGCAGCGTTATGGGGGACGGCGGTGTGGGAGAACCAGGATCCATGCTGTGCCTCGTTCCTGACACTCTCCGCCGAGATGAGAAGAGTGTTTGACCGCGCAGTCGCGGGAAGAGAAGCGGCACGGATTCTCGCAGACCTCAAGCAAGACGAAGGATCTGTATCTGATTACTCTATCGAGTTCCGGACCTTGGCGGCAGAGTGTCAGTGGAACGAGGAGGCGCAGTGGGACATGTTCCTGCATGGGCTGGCTGACCGCGTCCAGCGAGAGATTTACGCCATGGACTTACCTACTACTCTCAATGGACTGATCGAATTGGCGCTCCGTGTGGATTCTCGACTCTCCCGAGTCGAGCGTCGGAGATTACCCGCTCGGGTGTCTGGAGCGGTGGAGACTCTGCGAGCCAGCGGCGGGGACGCGGTCAGCCCCGTCTACGATCACGAGCCCATGCAGGTCGGGCGAGCTCGGCTTTCCCGGGAGGAGAGGGAGAGGCGGAGATCCCAGGGCCTTTGCCTGTACTGTGGTGGAGCGGGACATTATGCTTACAACTGCCCGGTAAAAGGCCAAGCCCGATAGTAAACGTGAGGCTACTATCGGGTGGGATCTCCGCCAGGAAGACCTCATCGACTACATCTACCTCCACGCTCCTCCCGGTAAGACTAAGATGGTCAGTCCACCAGCACGATTGTCTTGCACTGTTGGACTCCGGGGCGGAAGGTAATTTTATGGACTATAATTTCGCACTTTCATCCCAGATTTCCCTCCGACCCCTCACTCACCAGATTTCAGTTCACGCATTAAATGGTCAAGAGCTTCCCATCATTTCTCACACCACTGAAGACATCACACTTATTACCTCTGGCAACCACACCGAGACTATTTCTTTTCTTATTTTGGACTCACCTCTGGCACCCGTTGTTCTCGGACATCCCTGGCTGATCAAACACAACCCTCGTGTGGACTGGATTAATAAAGCTGTGCTGGAGTGGAACAAGGAATGTCATAAGTCTTGTCTTGTGTCTGCTTGTTCGTCTGTACCTGTTTCTGTGTTTCAGGAGGAAGCAGGGGATTTGTCTAACGTGCCCGTGGAGTATCTGGACCTGAAGGAAGTGTTCAGAAAGTCTCGCGCTGCTTCTCTCCCTCCGCATCGTCCCTATGACTGTGCTATAGATTTACTGCCAGGTAAGTCTCCGCCTAAGGGCAAGTTATATTCACTTTCGATTCCTGAAAGAGAGGCTATGGAGAAATATATTTCTGATTCTCTGGCAACCAAGTTCATTCGCCCTTCCTCTTCTCCAGCGGGGGCGGGGTTCTTTTTTGTGGGGAAGAAGGATGGATCGTTGCGACCTTGTATTGATTACCGAGGGTTGAATAACATCACGGTGAAGAATACTTATCCTTTGCCGTTGATGTCTTCAGCCTTCGAGAGGTTGCAGGGAGCATCTATCTTCACAAAATTGGACTTACGTAACGCTTATCATTTGGTTCGCATTAGGGAGGGTGATGAGTGGAAAACTGCTTTTAACACCCCTAGGGGGCACTTTGAATATTTGGTTATGCCGTTCGGGCTGTCCAACTCCCCAGCAGTTTTCCAGGCACTGATCAATGACGTGTTGCGAGACATGATCGATCAGTTCATATATGTTTACCTGGATGACATATTGATTTTTTCCTCATCTCTCCAGGAACGTGCAACACGTCCGACGAGTGCTTCAGAGGTTGCTAGAGAATGGGCTTTTTGTCAAGGCGGAGAAATGCGATTTTCATGCACAGTCTGTTCCTTTTCTAGGGTACATCGTGTCGTCCGAGGGAATGCGGATGGACCCTGAGAAGATCAAGGCTGTGGTTGATTGGCCAAGTCCAGATTCACGCAAGGCCCTGTTGAGGTTTCTGGGGTTCGCCAATTTTTACCGGCGTTTCATTCGCAATTTCAGCCAGCTAGTCGCGCCTCTGACTGCCTTGACCTCCCCCCGAACTGCGTTCAGGTGGTCTGACTCAGCCGAGGCTGTGTTCTCTAAACTGAAAAGCCGCTTTGTTTCAGCTCCGATTCTCATAGCCCCTGATTCATCACGTCAGTTCGTGGTGGAGGTCGACGCGTCAGAGGTGGGAGTAGGAGCAGTGTTATCCCAGCGTTCACCTGTGGACGACAGGGTGCACCCTTGCGCGTTTTTTTCACATCGATTATCCCCAGCCGAACGTAATTATGACATTGGTAACAGAGAGTTGTTGGCAGTCAAGTTGGCGTTGGAGGAGTGGCGTCACTGGTTAGAAGGGTCAGGGGTACCTTTTATTGTCTGGACTGATCATAAGAATCTCGAATACATCAGAACTGCTAAAAGATTGAACTCCAGGCAGGCTCGGTGGGCACTTTTTTTCGGTCGTTTTGATTTTACTCTCTCTTACCGTCCGGGTTCCAAGAACATCAAACCCGACTCATTATCTCGCATATTTGATTTTTCCGAACGCCCGTCTACTCCCGAGTGTATTTTACCTGAAACCATATTTGTTTCAACACTCACATGGGAGATCGAAGCGAAGGTCAAGAGAGCCTTAGAAGGGGTAACGCCTCCGCCCGGGTGCCCACCGAACCGTTTGTTTGTACCGGAGGGATTACGGTCAGACGTCATCCAGTGGGGTCACAGTTCCAACGTAGCTTGTCATCCAGGAGTTAATCGCACTGGGTTTTCAGTCAAGCAACGATTTTGGTGGCCACGTATGGCTCGCGACATTCACGATTTTGTTTTGGCTTGCTCAGTTTGTGCCATTGGTAAGTCTTCCAATCAACCTCCAGATGGGTTACTTCAGCCGCTGCCGGTGCCTTCAAGACCCTGGTCCCATATCGCTCTAGATTTCATTACCGCCCTCCCACCCTCTCAGGGTAACACAGTGGTTTTAACTGTGGTGGACCGATTCTCGAAGGCAGCACATTTCATTCCCTTACCCAAATTACCTTCAGCTAAGGAGACAGCGGCAACGATCGTAGATCACGTCTTTCGGTTACATGGCCTCCCGATAGACGTGGTTTCCGACAGGGGTCCCCAATTTGTGTCCAAATTTTGGCGAGAATTTTGTAGATTACTGGGGGCGACTGTTAGTCTGTCCTCTGGGTTTCATCCCCAGAGCAATGGTCAAACTGAGAGAGCCAACCAAGGATTTGGAAAGAACGTTGCGATGTTTGGTTTCCAAGAATCCTTCCTCATGGAGTCAGCAACTGTCTATGGTGGAGTACGCCCACAATTCGTTACCAGTGTCATCTACGGGCCTATCTCCGTTTGAGTGTAGTGTAGGTTACCAACCACCAATTTTTCCTAGTCTGGAGTCCGAAGTCGCGGTCCCCTCTGCCCACGCCTTCATCCAGAGGTGTCATCGCACTTGGACTAGAGCCCGCGAGACTCTACTCCAAGTGGGAGCACGCACCAAGGTCAAAGCCGATCGCCACCGGCGGAGACCTCCCGTATACGTCGTCGGTTCTAAAGTGTGGCTTTCTACCAAGAACATTCCTCTCCGATCCGTCTCGAATAAACTTGCTCCCAAATTTATTGGCCCATTTGCTGTCACCAAGATCGTTAGTCCGGTGGCAGTCCGCCTCAAACTTCCTCCTGCGTACAGGAGAATTCATCCCGTGTTCCATGTTTCCAAAGTCAAGCCCGTGTTTTATGCTCGCATTAATCCGCCAGTCCCGGTTCCCCCACCGCCGCGACTCGTAGATGGGGAACCGTCCTATTCGGTCAATCGTATTCTGGATTCTAGACGGAGGGGACGCGGATTTCAGTACTTGGTGGATTGGGAAGGTTACGGTCCGG